CACACACCCACACACACACACACACACACACACACACACACACACACACACACACACACACTATATAGCTCTCCGTCTAATTGCTCTGTAATCTATAATAAGCGAGCGACTCTTTTAAATGAGTAAAGCAGAACACATTAAATCTGCCTGAATCTCCATCTGCAACCGTATAAAATCATGCGTAATTGCAGCGAGGCTGACGCTACACACAATGAAGCGTTTAGCAGCAAACTATTGTAATGTCTGTAAATGACTGTCCTAAAATATCTATATTTAGAATGAGAATGAAGCTGGAAGCGCTTGGACAAAATCACTAGCTTTAAGTGTCCTCACTAGTGAAAAATGTCCTCAGTGATGAAGCGAGACAGCAGAGGGCGACGCTGCACTGAAGACAAGTCTTACTCTGAACTTCAGAATGGCATACTGTTGACTATTTCTGTCAGATAAAGGAAGAAATAGCATCCATTCTACATTTTACATTCCACTAATAACTATTTAGGCCTAAATTGCAGACTTATGTATTTGAATTATATATAATATTTCTAATCTTTTGGATTTCACCGCTTTAACATAAAATAATACACCTAATGTGATGCATATTTGTCAGTCATACATAAATGCAACAGGTCAGATTTATGAAATTTGTTTCAATCTCATACATTTTAAGTAACTTAATATTGCTTGTTCCACAGCTAGTCATATTTTCACCATGTTCATACTTTTTAACTGAATAAATGTAATTGTTTTCACTATGAACAGATTTATGCTGATTGTAAGCTATTTGAATAAATGCATTTTTAAATGATTGAAACAAAAAAAATAAAAAATAAAAATGTATAATATAAAATGTGATAATTTAAATGAAAGGCTTAAAAACATATATTTTTATTATTTTAATTTTCTATAAAAATCAATAAAATATAAACTTAATTTATTTTGATATTGAGACAAAATATTTAAAAAAAAATTATAATATAAAAAAGATTTATAATAAATGAAAATAATGAAAAATAATAAAAATAAAAAATATATATTAAAAGTTAATCTAAATATTTATTACAAATATTTAAATAAATGATTAAAATATATACAAATAATATACAAAAATAGTTTTTACAAATATGCATATTTAAATAAAATCAAATAGATGCAAATAAAAAATTTAAATATGAAAAATATTTAATATTAATAATTATATTAAAATATTTAAATAAAATGATTACAAATATTTACAAATAAATAAAAATATATAAATAATGCAATATTTAAAAAAATGTAATAGGATTATTTAAATAAAATCAAAGAGTTATGCAAACAGTTACTAAAACAAACAAACAAAACTATACCATGATTTTTTTTGAATGCAGAAATCTGACCTGTTTTATTTATGTGTGATTGGCATCACGTTAAGTTTATTAATTTGTTTATGTTAAATCTGTGTAATCCAAATGCATTTTGTATGCAATAGCATCCTAGGTATGAATTACATTCTATTTCTGGTGTATTTATGAGTGTGTGTCTCTCTCTCTCTGTGTGTGTGTGTGTGTGTGTGTGTGTGTGTGAGTGTGTGTGTGAGTGTGTGTGTGTCTCTCCTGCATGGATTCAGGCTGTGCTGACACGTGTCCGAATCCCTCTGCAAGCGCTGAATCCCTGCTGGGAATCTGGGAATGAGCCAGAACGACACAGAAAGAGGGACGGATAAAGCGGCTTTGGCTATAAAGAAACTTTGATGCGATGCGACCGATTTCCATGACGATGTTGTTCATGTTTGCGCAGTTCACAATTATCCTGATCCCACAAAATCCAGGCATTCCAGTGCCGACTGTTGATCTGAATCTGAGCAAGAACCAGCGTCACAGAGCAGCCGTTATCATTAGACCCGGAGATCCCGCGCTGGAGGAATGAAGCACATTAAGGATGGAGCAAGACTTTGGATTCATCGTGTTTAACTGTTGACTGCTTTTACTGGACATTATCAAGTTAAACTCGTATTCTGGAATGTTTAATGCATTTATAAGAGTTTGCCCTCTGGGAATACTTAGCTCTATTATTCCAAAAGTTTGGAATTATTACGATTATTTTTTAATGTTTTTGAAAAAGTCTCTTCTGCTCAGCAAGGCTGCATTTATTTGATTAAAAACACAGTAAAAGCAGAAAAATTGTGAAATATTATTACAAATCTAAAACAGCTGTTAATTAAGTCTATTTTTTGGGAGGCACTGTTACAATATTTCCCTTACTGTAAAACTAAAAATAAATAAAATAAAATAAATCTCATTATCATAATACAAAAACATATCAATATTAAAACATAATTTTATTTAAATGGTCACACATCACACATATGCTTGTGTGTATATATTATATTATATTATTAAATAAAACATTAAAAAATCTTAATGATTCCAAACTCTCTCTCATGAGTTTTATAGGGATTACATTTATAATGTGCAATTTCAAGCAGATGAAAAATGTTTGTTCATTAATGTTTGACTTTGAATTATAAATTTTTAACAATTTCATAATTGCTATATTTCCAGGTTTATTTCAGGTTTTGCTATATTTTCACGATTGTAGAACCCTGTACATACAAGTATTTTAGTGATTAAAACCTGTGCAATAATCAATTCAGGACTGTTCAATATTTCAATTACCGGTATTTATTTCTTCAAAGTGTTCTTTTGAATTCACGTGGCCCGAAACAAAACGTTTTTACCGTCGTCCCTGTAGGTTTGCCTTGAATTGTAGATCAGCTGTAGTTCCCTTCCGAGGGAAGTTCGAACAGTGTCCTCTAGGGGTCGCTATGGAGACTAGAGGACGCAGTGTCTCGTTCCCTTCTCAGGGAACCATGGTTACATACGTAACCTGAGACGTTCCCTTCCGAGGGAACTTCGAACAGTGTCCTCTAGGGGTCGCTATGGAGACTAGAGGACGCAGTGTCTCGTTCCCTTCTCAGGGAACCATGGTTACATACGTAACCTGAGAC